GCAGGTGTTTGTGGACTGCAGTAACCACTTACCATCAAGTGGACTGTTAGTTTGTTTATCACTTCAGTTTATAAAAGAAAATATCGATGCTTGCACTCTTTGCGAGCCAGTTTCCTCTCATTCGGTCTATGATGCTTGTGAATCACTGTGACATGGTGAAGTTCGTCGACTCCACCTTTATATTTACTCGTGACGTTGATGCCTTATCACACGGGCCGCCAACTCTGCGAGATGGCCCGTTTATTTTGATAATTCTGTGAAGGTGACACGTCCCGTTAATATAGACTTAGCATCACAGAGTAGTAGAGTACAGTATTGTACATTATTATATATAATGCTTATAACAAATATATTTAATGATTACTTATAACTGCGTAGATCGGCGCAAAAATTAATAACTTTAATCTGAAGGTAGCCTTGGTTAACTATGACATTGGAACGTCGAACACCTTGGTCCTCCCCGTGACCGTGCTGTGAAGAGCCCGAAACGTCGCGAATATGAAATAAGTTATTACGCTATAAAATCCGTTTTATTTAAACTTGAGTGATTCTAAGTTATATAAAAATTAATATTAGTTTGTTCGTATTTTATGCGCTGCCATACCGTTCATCGGATTGCGATAAAACTTCAACATATTGCTTGCACTTGCGCGAAGGTTATAGGCGTAGTTGGTTGGCATAGTTGTAGAATCCAGATATCCCCGTGCGAAGTCGGGGCAGATCACTAATAAGTTATAAAATAGTTACTAAATTATTTCCAGAGGTAGCTGGCAAGTCGACTTATTATGTGGCTCCGAAGGGATATCGCACTGCCGTCACTCCGATACTGTGCATTTTTAAGTCGATGGCCTTTTTGTTGTTATAATCAATTGCTATAAAGTATTTTTGTTCTTTTCAAACAAGACATGTTTTTTGTTCTCCTTTTTTCTTTTCTTTTTTAATAAACGTCCCCTCAACACTAGGTTTTTCTCTTGTATCGTGAAGACAGTATACTCGTACATACATAAATTATACAAGGACAAACATCCGGATCCGAAACAATTATTTGTAGGTAATACATTATTTTTAGGTACATACTTGTACCATGCGGATTTTGAATTCACGGCCCTTAGTGCTGTAACTCATTACTAAGTCAGTGCGCCGCGGAGCTGTCTATGTGTACAATATACTCGTATGTACATGCTTTCTCCTTCATTATCACTCAATGGTAAGTGGATGCTGTGGCCCATAGACATCTACATCCATCCTTTTTTATAGAGTAAGGGTGACAAACGAGCACGCAGTCCACCTGATGGTAAATGGATGCTGTGGCCAATAGACATCTACATTTATTCTCGATTAAGAATCAAAACGCAGATGCATTGTCACCCCTGACGACCATGTTTCCAGTAGATAAGGGTCTCCAGATCTCTACACCATACGAAACACAGCAGTATTAAGCTGCTGTCTTACGCTGGTATTCTGTGAGAGCGTGGTCCTTCCCCGGTCGAGCCGACCCATTCGCGCTACAGCCGTAATATAGCTGCAGCGTGGCTCTACCACGTACGTCTTTTTTATTATAGTGTATGTATATCATATACATCCTTCATTAGGAATCAAAATTCAGATGCATTGTCACCCTTGAGGACTAAGATGAAATGTCTCATTTCCAGTAAAAATGCATTTTTTAATATATTAAAGAAAATAATAAATATACGTTAAATATACTAAAATATATAAATAAATATAAACCCAGCCCGATGGAAGCCCTCGTTTGGGGAGACCACACAGCTGAGAGTTAGGGGGAAAGGGGGAGAAACCAGCGGACGATGCGAGCGGTATGTACTTTTTTTGAAATTTGAAAGTTCATTCGGTGTCAAGAATCTTTCCCCGACTCCAGACACTCCGAACGAGTGTGGCCGTGTACATTCTATAAGTGGTAACAGATCGCTTGGTTATCGGCGCATTATTTCTGCGTTATCTTTGCGATAGCGTTGAACTGTCGCCGTCTACGATAATTCCGGGTTAAAAAACAACAACTCAAATAAAAAGTAAACAAACCTTTTTTACTGGAAAGAGGCATTCCATCTCAGTCGTCAGGAGTGACAACGCATCTGCATTTTATTCATAATCGAGATAAGATGCATATGTGAATGGGCTACAGCGGGGATTCTCAAACAATTCGGGGCAAGAGACCCTTTTTGCAAAATGATCTGATACCTCAGACCCCCATATTTTTACTGTGCCATAGCCAAATTACTTTAAAAATCCTATTTCTAGTTTTTTTTTCTAAATAACTTACCAAGTTAAAACCTTTGCGGTTAGTTAAGTGAGTAAAATTGACATCCTTTCATCATCAAAATTTAACAAAATTTATAGACATAAAATACAGTAAATGTTGTGTATTTAATAATAATTATTAATACAAATTACGTTTTTTTAGTTTTTTAAAAGTACTACAATGATACTTTCCACTATAATCGTCGTTATTATAACAAGTTGGTAAACGTAACACCACTTATAATACAGTATCTTCGAAGTTTTAAATAAGAACTTGCGTTAATTAACAGGGGCCGAATTTTAGACTTAGTCAACCTACTAAATCAGGTTTTGTTTATGTCGACCCATAGGAAACCGATTTTGACCCCAAGGTGTCTATATCGACCGCTTTGGAAATCCCTGGTTTACAGCATATACTGCCGGCACCAATCAAATTGTTCAATTTTAAGTGAAATAAGAAAAAAATATATTACGAAGACATGTGAAATTCGCCAACACGCATTTGGGCAGTGCGGCGGACATTCGTTGACCAAAAACCCTCTCAGAAAGAAAGGTCTGTGCCCAGCAGTGGGACGTATAATATAGGCTGTAACTTGTAACTTTTATATACTTACCATCAGGTAGACTGTGTGCTCGCTTGTCACAATTATTCTATAAAAAAAATAAAAAAAAAAACAAGTCTTGAATTTTAACCGTCCATTAATGTGAATGAATGAAATGAAATGAAATGAATGATTTTTTATTCAATATGGATTATTGCATAATGCTTATTGAAAGTCATTTTTTTATTTAAAATTAGTTCGGAAAAAAAACTTCTGTCTTGGGAAGAACCAGCAAGAAACCCAGCGGGATTTTTTTTAAACATATTTCACTTTACAATAATTATGTTTGTACAATTTTTCTTTCTTTAATAAAACATTTGTGATGACACAATTACTCACAAGAGACATGACGAGAGGCAGCCTATAGGTTGCCTCGTTGTGAATATGATATTATATATATATATATATATATATATATATATATATATATATATATATATATATATATATATAAGTTTTATTATATTATATTATATTGCAGGTGAAACAAATATGATATATCTTTCTTGATATTTTATAATTTCTTTATTTCTTTCTATATTGAAAGTTGTTTAGTGGCGTTGCTGTTAACTGTGAAACATTAGGAATGACGGTCAGAAATAAAATAAGATGAGTGATAGGGATCAATCTGGAATGGTGTTTTTTTTTAATATAGAATAAGGGTGACAAGCGAGCTCGCAGTCCACCTGATGGTAAGTGGACATTTACATCCGTTCTCGATTGACGATCGACATACAATTGCGATGGAATGCCTCCTTTCCAGTAAAAAGGATATTCGTATCTCAAAACTCACCATACGAAACACAGCAGCATTAAGCTGTTATTTGACGCTGGTATTCTGTGAGAGCGTGGTTCTTCCCCGGTCGAGCCGACCCGTTCGTGCTACAACTATAATTTATCTGAAGTGTGTCTATCACGTAAAAATATTGAGAAACGAATTATTTGTTTGACATTTTGGATTAAGGTCCTCTAGTGTGATAAAACACATCAAGTTTTTCGATTTGTCACGAATGAGTCATGAATGTTTACAAGACGTAACTGAATGGATTTTGTTCTTTGTTCTTTTGCGTCATGTTTTGGATTTAAATACCTTACTGATAGAAACTGTTTGTGTCCTTCTTTATAATGAGATATTAGTCTCCTATTACGTATGGCTTAACTGCTGATAAGTAAAAAGTTTTATCAATGTCCAGATAAAAAGGTTTTTAAGCATCGATTAGAAACAATAAAATTTAAAAGTTAGAGGTATGTGAAAGCAGAGTGGTCTAAATGAAAATATTTCCTGAAAGTAGCATTATGATAAAAAATTCTGATAAGAATTTTCTAGATAAATTTTAAATAAAGAAACAGTTTTTTAACTATTTTAATTAAGTACGGACTTGAAATTATTTGTTTTTTTTTTTTTATAATTTTAAGCCAGTGCTCTACTACTATTCTATCTGATTGTAAGTGGTGTTGGTGATGGTATTGGTGGTGGTGATGGTGGTAAAACACACCAACTTAACAAAAGGCTATTCACTATTGCCTTAAAGACACCGCTGGTAAATTATTCCACTCCATTGCTATTCGTATTTCGAACGAGACCCATTGGTTTCAATAAGTGGTGCTGGTATGTCGAAATCAAAGGGTTGGAGACTAGCTGAGCTCTGGTTTTTCGTAGGTAAAGGTGCCACGGAGTAATAGTCTCTAAACTCATAAACGGTTGGTACCGTTTTTGGTTAGTTTTGTTGTGTATGTTTTAATGGGTCCCTGGATGGGTCAGATTCACAATTGCACCATGTAGATGGCGCTGTTGTCGACATCTAGAAATCAACCGGATAACTAGTAATTTATTATAACTACTCGTGTGTGGTTAATTTATCACGTTATTTTACGTTTATATTTTAGTTCCTAGAATTTTAATAATAAATTAACCACAAATTTAACCCAAATAGTCAAACGCTGCTCAATTTTAAGACGTCGTTAAGTCTCGTGCTGTCTCTGTCACATTGAGTTTAAGTGACTGTGACACGACGAGACTTAACGACATACATACTTAAATTGAGTAGCGTTTGAGTATATCTGGCCAATAGTTAACTGCAATCAGTAACAATACGTGTAAAATTCTACAGCGGCAAGTCTATTTGTTTTCTGATGCAGGTGTTCTGCGATATAGTGGTGAGAGATGGTGAGATGGTGTGTGTCGAGTTGGTGGCGCGCGGACGTGGTGACGCCGCCTGCGCTGTCATATTCCTCGGCTCCATACGATATGACGCGCTCACCAGAGTCTATGATGCCAGGGTGAGTATACATGTTTGTCTTTCATTTACCTATTTCGAGCAGAGTTTTATGTATACTAGCGGATGAGCTCTGGCTCCTGCGGCCATAATAAATTGCGCACTAAGTTACGGTAAATTCTGGGTAACTCCTTTGTTCGACTGAGAGCGGCCGAGTAGACTAATCCTTTGTTTAGTAAGCGGCGAACGTTGGTTTTCACAATCTAACGGTCAGTTCAACTGATCATTCCAACTGATCAGTTGAATTATATATTGTTGAACTGACCTTGTGTGTCGTCCATAACACTGATTTTGTTGTTTGAACAAAATGCCGCCGTAGTCGTTATTTGTGAGATTTTTAGGAGCTATCTACTTGTTATTAAAAAGATATATTTACTAATAAAAAATCTATTAAATTTCTACATAATCTTTATTCCATAACAGCCAATTCAATTTTTTTTCTAAAAGGAGTAAATACTTAATGAAATTATTGATGCCATGTATCTCCTCATAAAGTAAGCATTATTTTATTTTGTGATTGATACTAATGGATAGGCAATTTCTTAATGAACATTTTGATATATTTATTTTTTTCGAAATTTAATACATTTTTTATTAGTTGATATATCTCTTTAATAACAAGTAGGTAGAGCCTAAAAATTTCACAAATAATGACTAACGCGGCATTTTGCTCAAACACGCTCCTTAATGTGACTAAGAAAACGCTTTCACTGTTTATGTGCACATTTTGTCTTGTAAAATGTAACTTTGTTTCATAAACTGTTAAATCAAATTCTTCATACTTATAAATACCCTGTTCCCCTCTGCCTAAATCCTCACAACCCTAGCGCACATCAGAATTTTCTGTAATTACTTTTAAATGTTGTATGTATTTTGTTCACGCCACGCTCTTATAGCCGAATATTATTCAAGATAACTACATTTATATGAAACTAAGTTTTACGGATTTTAACTTATTTTAAATTCCCCACGTTTCTAATACTTTACATACAACACCCGTGGTCACGGGCGGGCCTAAGGTGTTCGACGTCCCGACGTCAATGGAGGTAGCTGTGGTTATATATGAAATAGTTACGTCGAACACATCAGTACCCACGTGCCTAAGTATGTGTAGTGTTCGGGTAAAATTAAGAAAACGACGACAGTTTTAAGCTCCTTTAACCCGGTTTCTTAGTAAAAGTTCCAAATTTAAAATCTCGGACGTAATCACTCTACTAATATAAGAAATAATTTCTACAATAACAATGTCCTTCAGGCCTAATTTCTGTCACCGTGAACTGTCTCAACGGAGACTAGCCATCGGCGCAGGACAGGATTATAGTGCCCAAGTGTGTGCGCAAGCGCAGGTGCATGCTCTAGTCCTCACTCTCGTAGTCCGAAAGAACGGATATCCGACACCACAACAAAAGATCAGGCGCAGGAATTACAGCTTTATATGCTTTCCGAGGCACAGGGGTGGAACACCGCCAACTTCCCGACTCCGGGCTACTAGACAATTTATTGATAGAAAAACAGGTTTAGGCGCGACCCGCGATTCGAACTTAGGGCTACGATGGCACATACAGTTTGTAAATAAAATTTATTTAAATTTAATTAAAAAAATTATGGTCAAGTTTTCCGAAGTAAAGTTATTTCTATACGTTTGAACACCTACTGATTCTATAAACGCACTTAATGGGAATCACAGGGTTTTTGTTATATGTTCTATACAATGCAACTATCTTGTGCATAATAAAAAAAATATACATTTCACACCTGTCCAATTGTCTTTTGTACCCAGGTTTGACTGGAAGAGAATGCCACATAGCATTAAGTCGGCCATATGTACCATTAGCTTTAAGGTGTTACAAGTATGCTTTAAAATAAATAAAATAGTTAATAAGTTATTACGATAAGGCGATGAACTCTCTGAAGCCAGAATCCAATGTACAACGAACGTAGACGAGTATCGAAAAATAATACATAAAATATGGTAACACTATCGACACATAACGTCCATAGTATGGTAACAGACGGTGTTTTTCTCAGAAACACATAATATTTCCCACTTTATCGATTCAAATTGTTCCGCGGGCATGTTTGAAACGCGCCGGTGATGTATAAAGAAGGCTGAATGTTTTACTAACCTCCATTTTTTTTAAATAAAGTAGCTTTGAGGCGAGAAGTTTATGGAGGTAACTATAATAGTTAAATAAACTAACCGAAAGTAATGCACCATTAAAACATTGTTTTTTTCTTCTTATAGAATAAAGACTACAAACGAGCACACAGTCCACCTAATGGTAAGTGGATGCTGTAGTCCATAGACATCTACATCCATCCTCGATTAAGCATTCCAATTTAGTTCCTAGGGCTTTCTTTTCATAGAATACATGTGACAAACGAACGCACAGTATACACACTTGATGGTAAGTGTGCCCTGTTGCCAATGAACATTCACATCTCTTCTCGGTTAAGAATCAAAATGCAGATGCGTTCTCACCCCCCGGGGTCTTAGATGGAACGCCTCATATCCAATAAAATGGTCTCCGGCTCTCTACGCTCACCATACGAAACACAGCAGCATTGAGCTGCTATTTTACGCTAATATTTTATGAGAGCGTGGTTCCCCTCCCTGTGGTCAAGTGGACACACTTACCATCAGGTGGACTGTGTGCTCGCTTGTCACCCTTATTCTATAAAAAAACTGCGTTAGTAACGAAATTAATCCTTCCCTTACTGTCGCTCGAAATAGCTTTCATCCTTGGACGGGTTTAGTCTTCGGTCCGCTCGACCGCGCCATCGGGCTCTGGGGTGTAGTTTACCCACACGGCTTTCGTCACGCCTCGTTAAGTAAGACCTCGGTTTTATGGCTCAAGGTTTAGGGAATTGCGTCTCGCAGCTTCGGACTAGTTCTCTATATATAACTATGTCTTACAGACGTATAAATAAGGTTCAAATGGTAACACTTATTATAATAATAATAGTAATGTACTCCAGACCGAATTTCAGTCACGGCGGCCAGCTTCAACGGAGACTAGCCATCTACGCAGGACAGGATCATAATGCCCAAGTGTATGCGCTAGCACTCTCTATTTCCCTCACTCTCATAGTCCTGTTGGGCGTTTATCTAACACGCCCGGGGAGAGATCAGATGCAGGACCAACGGCACGAGGCACGGAAGTGAGTCACTGCGACTTCGTAACTCCGAGCAGCTACAATTTTTTTTTTACAGTAAAACTGTATAACTGATTTTGTTACCTGACCAGGGATTCGAATCCGGAACCTCGTGGTCAGCAGTCGAGTTTATGACCACTGAACCAACGAGGCAGTCAATTATTGTAATAAGTAATTATATTGTTTAGATATACTAGAGGTGTAAGGTGGATGTAACTTTGTTTTTGTAAAATTGAATTGACAATCGGTCTTACAGTCCACCTAACGGTGAATGGTCACTGCATCATATAGATATCTGTAACCAACTTCAAGCACACTGCAAAACTGTAAAAAACTTTTTGCGTGGTAGAGCCATGCTACAGCTATATAAATTGTATAGTTGTAGCGCGAATGGGTCGGCTCGACCGGGGAAGGACCACGCTCTCACAGAGTACCGGCGTCAAATAGCAGCTTAATGCTGCTGTGTTTCGTATGGTGAGTGTAGAGATCCGGAGACCCTTTTTACTGGAAAGGAGGCATTCCATTTTAGTCCTTAAGGCTGACAACGCATCTGCATTTTGATTCGCAAACGAGGATAGATGTAGATGTCTATGGGCCACAGCAACCTCTTACCATCAGGCGGACTGTGTGCTGCGCATGTCACCCTTTTCCTATAAAAACAATAAAACCACAGATGATATATCATTCTTAAGGCTTAACCGAAAAAGGACCCAGCTCTATAGTATAGTAACTTAAAATAGCAGCTTAACACTGCTGTGTGTCGCATGGTGAGTGTAGAAAAACGAGACATTACATATTAATCCTCAGGGGTGACAACATATATGCATTTTGATTCTTAACCGAGGACAGATGTAAATATCAATTGGCAACAGGGCACATTTACCATCAAGTGTATTCAAGTGTTTTTTTTTATAGAATAAGGGTGACAAACGAGCACACGGTCCACCGCCAGTAAGTGGATGCTGTGGCCATAGACATCTATATTTATCTTCAATTAAGAATCAAAATGCAGGTGCGTTGTCACCCCTGAGGTCTGAGATGGAATGCCTCGTTTCCAGTAAAAAGAGTCTCCGGTTTTCTACACTAGCATTCTGTGAGAGCGTGCTCCTTCCCCGGTCGAGCCGACCCATTCGTGTTGCAACGACAGTATAACTGCAGCGTGGCTCTACTACGTCTAAAAATGTGTCTACTGTACGTTCGTTTGTCGCATGTATTTTAAAAAAATAAATTCCTAGGAACTAAAATGGAATGCTTCACAGTCTGCAGTTTTAACGATTTCTTTTATTTGAGCGAATACTTCACAATGAATTAAAATTTATGGATTTTATCGTGTTTAATTTAAACTTTTTATTATTATCACGTTTTCAATAACTCGCTTTTATGTTTTTTTTAGAAGAGTGGGCAAACGAGCATATACGGTTCACCTGATGTTAAGTGACTACCGCCGCCCATGAACATCTGCAACACCAGGGGAATTGCAGGTGCGTTGCCGGCCCTTTAGAAAGGATTAAGCTCTTTATTGAAGGTCCTCGGGTCGTATCGGTCCGGAAAAATCGCCGGCAATGTAAACTGTATTCCACGAGTTAAGGTTGTACAGGGCGGTGAAGAACATCGTGAAAGTACACGTGCATGTGTTAGGGTCAAATTGATTTCGATGAAATTGAGTTCTCAAACTCACTTGCCCCGATGCAGTTTGAAGCTTAGAATTTTATCATACGAGTAGTACGGAATAGGATGACAATGTAAGCTGCAAGTTATTCCGGAAAAATATTACAAAATAGTGGAATGTAAAAAAAATTAATTGAAAAAATCTCTGGTTTTAACGTTTATTAAAAGCCTGTAATAATT